CCCTGTGCAGGTTCCCAGCTCTCAGAAATCATTTTAGAAAACATTAGTTGTAGCGCCTGTTTCTGATTTTGCCCTTTGGCTTTGTGCCCCTCTGCTGTGTTACAGGACCATGGAAAATGAGGACAGTGGCTACAGAGATGAAGGTAAGAAAAACTTGAGATGCCTCATGCTCAGGTTAAATTGGTAGAAAAAAAAACATATTCAACCCATGCATCTGTCCCTAAATAATTTAATACCACATTTTATGATTAATATTTTAGATTTTTTGAGTGGGAATCACATAACTGGGAAAACTGTATGGAATATGATTTTTTATTATTAAAGAATAAACCTTATTAATACTGTAATCATGATCACTTTAATTCTCCACAGCTGTCCATGTGGGACATATTATTTTCAGACTAAGCAATCAGATCACCTTTTAGATTAGACTTTTCGCCTCATATCATTTCTGACAATTTGTATGCCAAAAAGGGTTCTTGGAGTGTTCTCTAACAATACAGTAAGAAAAATAAACTTTTTTCTGTGCTATTTGTTTTATAGATGCTTTTGTTTATAATGTACTTGCACGTCCTTTTCCATTTTTCTTTCAGAGAATGGAGTGCCTGATGGTGAACAGGACTATGAAACCCAGGAAGAGCAAATTTTAAACTGGTCTGATCTGTAAGTGTGTGGCAGAATTAAAATGAGTCACCTTTAACCTCTGAAGCTTTGAAACGCCCCTTGTGGAAATGTGGATATGTGTCTTCATGTGGTAAATAGTGGCATCCAAAGTATCAGATGTATTTGTAGCGTATGATACCTGTATTTGTAATATTTGTCATATCACACACCATATCAAACATATTAATTGCTTCCTCCTCTTCCTCTTGGATTGATGTAGTTGCAACCCTTTATTGGATGTATTTAGCCTTACTTTAAATTGTATTTCACATATAGTACACTTATTCCATCAGAGGAACTACAGGAAAATGTGAACTCGGGACCAAAATGACAAAAAAATTACTGTATACATGCATAAGTGCATGATATGTGTCATGATATAGTCCTTAAAATGTAAGATGCACAGGAAAGTTAGAAACTAATTTAATGAGTAACAGGTAGTAACTATAACAAAACCTTAACCTGACATTTGGCTTCACAAACGTGTCCCTGCTGTCTGGGACCTGGAGCAGTGGTGTCCAGTGAGCCATTGGAATGGATGCAGAAGAAGTCGGACGGACTGAAACGCGAACGAGCATCACGCTCTAACCGTTGTCCGTGTGTTTGTTTGTCCCCTCCTAAAAGAGGCGCAGAGGGGGAGAGCGACGTGATCGCCAAGCTGGTGCGCTCCAAAAACCGGCTGAAGAAGATGAACGCGGAGCTGCAGGAGTCCGTGGACGTGACGGAGGACTCCAACGCCATCCTGCGCTCCGAGAACAGCGCGCTGAGGGGCCAGGTCAAAGGGTGATGACGCTGCCTGCGTGTCGTTAGCGCACAGAGTAACACGCAGAGGTCCGCTTAGAGCCAGTGAAGGCTTTCCCCTTGGGAGCCTTCTGCTGTTCAGGATCTGAGGCCAACTGGGGCTGGGCCTTTCTAGTACCCTGCTGAGAAGGAACCTAAGAAAACCAGGTTACTGCTGACAGTGGTGATGGACAGCCAGTAGGGGGCAGTCTTCCCACTGAAATAAATAAATCTGTTGCAGCAGAGCGGCGATCAGGATGCTGTGCTGTAAGAGACAGTCTCTCAGATGGTGTGTTCAGTAATGGTCCTGCCTCACTGGGGTTGTAAAAGTCCCATGACATTTACCAGAAGGATTGCAGATGTCTGCCACAATACTGGTCTGGTTATGTAAGTCTGGCCAGGAGCACATGAACTCAGGGGATAGAAATGAACAAAAAAATCACAGGCATGTGTTTGTCAGTATATGCACTTTGATATAGTACATGGAATATACAATTTAATAAAAAACAAAGTATGTGAATACAGTTTTAAAACACATATGGTCTCAACACCTGTTCCCCATCTGTGCCATGAAATTAAGTCATTGAATGCAGGCAAACATAAATGCCCACACCTGCCGTTCCCCTTCCCAAAATTGTTCCCGCTGTGGATTCTGGAGGCTAAAAAAACGTTCCTGTGATAGCAGCCCTCCAGGAGCAGGCCTGAGGCTGTGTTTAAGGCTGAGTGAAAGTGCTCCTTTCTGATCGCCGTGTGCCGCCCGCGTGGTCCGTGTCTCGCAGCATGAAGCAGGCCATACGCGAAGCGAAGCTGCTGACGGAAGAGCTGGAGGAAACGCGCAGCTACCTGACCGAGCAGGCCAAGGCCAACGGCGTGCTGGAGGCCAGCGTGAAACAGCTGGTGCGTAACGGACAACGTTCCTTAAACGTTTCCTCTGACATCCGGTCATAACTTTTGACACTAGCCTCTCTGAAACAAGCTGTGAACTGACTCTGCCGAACTGTTCATAAATTCAGTGCTATGCAGGGTGGCAGTGTAGCAAAGTGGAAAGTAGCAGGGCTTGTAACCAAAAGGTTGCAGGTTCGATTCCCCACTGGGGCACTGCTGCTGTGCCCTTGGGTGTGGTACTTAACCCACAGTTGCCTCAGTAAATATCCAGCTGTATAAATGGATAACATGTAAAAATTGTAACACATGTGAGTTGCTCTGGATAAGAGTGTCTGCTAAATGACTGTTATGTAATGTAATGTATCATGTTGGAGTTTTCAGGCTGGAACAACAACTCTGAGTCTGTATGTTTATGTTTAAGACAAGCAGTTACTGTAAGAGCTTGTCCCCATTTCTGTTGTGTGAGGGAACTTTACTCTTTGGATTGCTGTTAAGGCTGCTGCCAGAAGTATTTACTTATTCTTTGCATCATGGCAGGAAAAAGAAAATGAAATGCTGAAAGACCAGCTGGAGTCCCTCACCACTGAGGTATGTGTTTGGATCTGGCAGACTTTTACCCTTTCGCTCATGAAGGCTTGTGGGGTGCCTTTGTCACCATGTCTGCCTGTGTCAGTGTCTTTGTGCTGTTATGCATTGACTCACAGACACATGTAGCTTCAGTCATAAAACACTCCAGAGATGCACCAGGAATGGCATGGGTGAGTTCTCTCTCTGGTGACCTTGGTCTGATTTTTAAATGCCACAGGGATAAAAATCAAAGTGCAGTGGGGCCTTCAACATACTCTGATTTGTGTTTCTGTGCCCTTTCCTGAAGTATATCATGAAATGACATCACAGTTATTTCCATTGCAGATGTCTAAAACCTCCGCAAGACAAATAGACAAGGAGAAGATTCTTCAGCTCAGTAGTCTCCTGAGAGACTTACAGGTACTCCAACCTACAGCATCCTAAAAATATACAACATCCCCAACTCTGAAGAATTATGATAACAAGAGAATGTGACATTGTTCAGATCAGTGTTATGTACCAATTCAACCATCATCTCCTGCAATTTTGTAAACAAGGGATATGACTGAGGTAGATTAATCAGTTTGAATTGATTTCCTTGTGTCACACCCATGGCTGTCTTGAGGTAGTGCTTTGGTTAAAAAATGCTTCATTTGTCAGGAATCTTGGTGCTTTGTTTAAACCCATGGAGGAGAATGATATGATATGAAATAGATGATATGAAATAGATAAAAATGAGATGCCAGGTAGAATAGGTTATTCATTACACAGTACGTTAATGACATTTATGTTTTTCTGTTCTTTGTGTCTCGTTTATGTAATACACAATTTGTGTCTTTTAGGAGGAAATGGAAGAGACCAGATTAACTCTTGACCAGAAAGAGGAAGTTATTCAGAAGGTAGGTGTATATACATTCTTACAGATAAAAACATTCTTACAGATAGGCCTATATATACATTCTTACAGATAAGCAGAGAGATTGATGGATAGATACAGGATGATACATATATACAAGGTACACTGTAATTGTGATGACTATATCCAGACATTGTTCTACACGTGCTTTGTTGAGTGTCATGAATGTTTTGCTCATGCACTGAAGTGTGACTAATGTATTTATTTCAGAAAGATTTCCAAATTGAACAGTTAGAAAACTCCCAGACAGAGTACTCTCTGATTGTGCAGGTCTGTATACTCTTCTGTATTAACTGTTTCTCGGCAAATGCTGCAGTATCAGAAAGTGTGGCCTCAATCTTTTGACAGTGGTTTTGTCGTGAAGGCCACACACCATACCGAGAATAATTTTTATTATCATTTATGTCTAGGATCTGAAAGAGAAGTTGAAGGACCTGGAGGACCAGTTGGCTGAAGCGTTAATGTACGTACAATATTTACTGTAACGATGTGTTCAGACCCAGTGGATGAAAGTCCTGAGAGCGGTCACAAGCCATGTAAGCATTACAACCTTACAGCGGTATTTTCTTGCTTGCAGTGCAGGGGAAGGAAGCTTCCAGGACCTGGACGGCACTTTCTCCCCTGCTACTCAGCGTTGCGTCTCTCTTGGCGAAGAGCTGTGGCTGCTTCAGCAAGTCATGGCTCAGGTGTGCCTTTTCCAACAGCTTCAGTTCCCTTTATACTGCAGGCCAGGGGTGCCGACCTCTACTCTGGCCCTCAGAAACTGTACAGCGAAAAGCTCAATCAGGTTTTACAGGCGTATGTATGTACCTCTTTGCTCCATGTGGCAGTGGAGAAAATCATCCATTCAAGCATCTAGATCGTTCATTTAGACGATTAAAGGCTTGGAATGTTGCACACTGCCTCAGTCATCCAATCTGTAATTTTTTACAATTCACAAAACCCTGGACGGAGTAACATTAACATTATTGGCATTTAGCAGACACTCTTATCCAGAGTGGCTTGCATCTGTTACAGTTTTTTCATGTTACCCATTTATACAGCTGGATATTTACTGAGGCAATTGTGGGTTAAGTACCACTCCCAAGGGTACAACAGCATTGCCCCATCGGGGAATCGAACTGGCAATCTTTTGGTTACGAGCGCTGCTCCTTTCCATTATGCTATGCTGCCCTCCATATAAAATGCGTAAACCAGCCAGGAGTCGAACCTATAATCTTCTGATCTGTACTCAGATGTGTTATCCATTGCGCTACAGTAGAATTCTCCTACTCTTTTTGATGAAATTGCAGTTGGGTCCACCCTGTGGCAATTCACAGTACTGCAGACAATTCTGGTTGGCCTGAATAAGTGTCTGAAATAATAAGAGGTTGTTGTTGTCAAGAAATGACTGTAATTTTCTCTGTAGGAGCCCAGTGAGGAGGAGAAGGAGAGGGTAGAAACAGTCAATGATCCTAGTGTTCCCAGACAAAGGTAAAGTCATCTATGGGGATTGTCACAAAGCACACACAAATCAGAGAACCCATGGCCAATTGGGGGAAAAATATGAATAAATAAATGTCCTTTTTTGGTTCATTATAGAAAGATCTGCAATCTATGGCAGAAGGAATCAATTAGGTTTTGGTGTTTTTTGTTGATAATTACCTTTTGAATACTATGTTCATTGATGATTATGGATGATCTTACAAAAAAACAAAAAAAACACCTCTAAATGTAGTAATTCATTTTTAATCTTTATGTCTGGCATTGCAGGCAGTACAGGTTAAGCGATGGTGTGGCACTTAAAGGAAAACTAGGGTCAAACTGAGTTCTAAACCTTGTCCTGCAAACCTGAAATCTGACCCTCCTCCAGTCACTGACACATGCTTGCAGCACTCGCAACAATACAAAACAGAGCAAAGCAAAACACTAGAAAAAAAACTCGCTTTTCCCTAGAAACCCCTGAACACGCAAAAAAACCAAGTCAGTGTCAGTGCATGAATGTGGTATTTCTGCATGGGTGATGATTTCATTGTTCAAAGCTGGCTCCTTTGAGTCATCCTCGCTTGAAAGAATTTGGATACAGTTACATTTTAGCCCTTTATGATGAACAAACTCTCAAATACAGAATCACTCTAAATCTTCTGATGGAGCCACGACCACAAACCCTGAGTGAAATTTAATCCTGATCATTCTTCCGCACTATGATTATGTTAGTTGATGATGCAAGTTAATGTTGCTTTTAAATGAGTCACTGTAGGTACTCTAAAAGAACAAATGTTGTGTGCTTATTGTAGCGCTGTTATTTATATTGATGTGCTATCACTGCGTTACTAGCTGTTCTATACATACGCAATATTAATGTATGTTGCCATGACAGCCCTATAAGTCATTGTTGATAAGAGCATCTGCCAAACACATCAATAAATACCATAAAGCATTTCAGACTTTCCTTTTTTACTGTAGTTCTCCTTGAACCGTTCCTCTGAAATGGCTTCCATCCCACAGTCCTTTGCTGTGCTTGGAGATTGAGTTTTCCTGTAGTGGCGTGTTTCCCTCTCTCGTTTGGCAGCTGGCGGGACAGGAAGTGTGCGAGGCTGAGGAGGGGTGCGCGCGCTTTGGGGGTGCTCAGCTTTCGCCTGCTGCTGCCTCTGGGCCTGGTCAGCGCCCTTGTGCCCGTCTACTACGACAACCCGGGCCTGAGCTGTGTGGAGATCCTGTGGAACGCTGCCCATCGCCTGATCCAGCCCTACTGCTCTGTCCATCACATCGGGCTCCCACCCGTCTGACTGTCAGTACTGACTGTCTCACAGCACACAGTCTCCCACCCGTCTGACTGTCAGTACTGACTGTCTCACAGCACACAGTCCCCCACCCGTCTGACTGTCATTACTGTCTCACAGCAAACAGTCTCCCACCCGTCTGACTGTCAGTACTGACTGTCTCACAGTAATCAGTCTCCCACCCGTCTGACTGTCAGCACTGACTGTCTCACAGTACAGTCTCCCACCCATCTGACTGTCAGTACTGACTGTCTCACAGTAATCAGTCTCCCACCCGTCTGACTGTCAGCACTGACTGTCTCACAGTACAGTCTCCCACCCGTCTGACTGTCAGTACTGACTGTCTCACAGCACACAGTCTCCCACCCGTCTGACTGTCAGTACTGACTGTCTCACAGCACACAGTCTCCCACCCGTCTGACTGTCAGTACTGTCTCACAGCAAACAGTCTCCCACCCGTCTGACTGTCAGTACTGACTGTCTCACAGTACAGTCTCCCACCCGTCTGACTGTCAGTACTGACTGTCTCACAGCACACAGTCTCCCACCCGTCTGGCTGTCAGTACTGACTGTCTCACAGTACAGTCTCCCACCCGTCTGGCTGTCAGTACTGACTGTCTCACAGCACACAGTCTCCCACCCGTCTGACTGTCAGTACTGACTGTCTCACAGTACACAGTCTCCCACCCGTCTGACTGTCAGTACTGACTGTCTCACAGCACACAGTCTCCCACCCGTCTGACTGTCAGTACTGACTGTCTCACAGCACACAGTCTCCCACCCGTCTGACTGTCAGTACTGTCTCACAGCAAACAGTCTCCCACCCGTCTGACTGTCAGTACTGACTGTCTCACAGCACACAGTCTCTCACCCGTCTGACTGTCAGTACTGACTGTCTCACAGTACAGTCTCCCACCCGTCTGACTGTCAGTACTGACTGTCTTATAGCACACAGTCTCCCACCCGTCTGGCTGTCAGTACTGACTGTCTCACAGTACAGTCTCCCACCCGTCTGGCTGTCAGTACTGACTGTCTCACAGCACACAGTCTCCCACCCGTCTGACTGTCAGTACTGACTGTCTCACAGTACACAGTCTCCCACCCGTCTGACTGTCAGTACTGACTGTCTCACAGTACAGTCTCCCACCCGTCTGCCTGTCAGTACTGACTGTCTCACTGTGTGCTGTACAGTAGTATAAAATATTAACACTGTGTGACTGTCTCACACACCAATGCACACTCTCATACTCACACACAAACACACATACACACTCACACAGCCATTTTTTGTACTGTTAAACACAATACAAATAAACATGGTGTAAAGTGAAAAAATGATCATAGAATGCGCTTTTACACACACAAATCTCCCCTGGACTTCCTTGTGCATACGTGCATGAACACAAGTATACACACATATAGAAACTTCTCACACAGGAACACACCCACATACACACAGCATTTAGTTTAGTTCTTTCACATGCAAAGTTTATTCAGAAACTTCATCTAGTTGACCTGCAATATTTTCCTTAAGTAATTCATAAAAATAAAGAAACTCAATACCCAGTTTGGCTTATGCCCACTTTTAACAGTTTTTGCATGCCTGTTTTATATTGCTGATTTAATAAAACATGAGATTCCAATTGATGTTCTTCCCTCTTTAAATATTGTGAGACATTAATTTCCATCCAGCTAAACTACAGTTTGGCTCAAATGAAGCTGGCATTTGGTACAAACAGTGCGATGCACCTGTAAAGATGTAATCGGATATTGTCTTCATGACTTTGCTGGCTGTGGTTTTGTGGACTTTGGACACAGCAGGTCCAAAGTACCTTTACATTTACATTTATTCGTTTGACAGACGCTTTTATCCAAAGGGACTAACAACTGAGGTACAATACAACACAAGCAAAAGAAAAAAAACGTGCGGAGTCAACAATATTAGAAGCACTGCATGACCAGGTTTCAAAGCTTGGCAAGATACAGACTGGCAGGTAAAGCTAACGAGTGCGTTAAACCATTAGATTACGTTTTTTATGTAATTTTATAGTTTAGTAGGAGACAGATTGAGAAATGAGAAGTTTCTTTAGGGGGCAATGTATCAGGTGAGAGCGGAACCTTAAGCCAGAAGGTGGAAGAGATGACAGAGAAAGGCTCAGTTCATACTGTCGTCGCTTCGCATTTACAAGCAACGTTAAAACAAACTGGGGGGGTGTTGCGCTTGCCGGAAATGACGTTAGTAGCGTCATCGCGTAAACCCTGCGTAACCCTTCGTGACGCCATCAGAAAATGGCCGAAAACTAGTGCGAGAAATAAAGGTACCCTGTGTTTGCAAAATGTTTTTTCTAATTTGAGTGTTACACCTATCGCTTTATAATGTAAGTTACTGTAGCTAGACTTGTTTAGCACAAACAAATTATGAGATTATTGTGTGGGTGTGATTATTGTTGTGTGGGCGGATTATAGGATTTGTAACTTGTTATTCCAGCAGCGAACAACGTCTCCTTTCGAAATAAGAGCTCTTTGTTGTGCTTTCGGGAGGGACGGCTACTTAGTTTGACAAGAACATGGATCCAGTTTACACCTTAGGTTAAAAGCGGTTTTTAGCTATCTAATGGTCATGGCTAAATAATGCTACTGAAATGTTTGTATATGGCTTGCTAAACAACTGGAAGCTGAAACGAAATGTCTCTCCATAGCTTTTAGATGTTTTCCTAGCTTTTAAACCGAATGAATGGCAGTAGCAAAAGTTAAGTGGCTTCAGGTTATTCGCTAGCCAGCTTGCAGACAACATTAATATCAGCACTGCTGTCCTTTCAGTCAGAAAGTTGAAAGTTGTCAACCAGCTATAGTAGTATTATGAACATGTGGTTGTGCGATCCACAGAATTCTGTTGAATGCATTTGGGTCCTCCAGCTTCATATGAACTTCTTGGACGAAGTGGTCAAAACGGTGTCATCTCCGCAGGTGTGAGGTATCGCCGTCGTGTCCAGCATGCCGCCTCTTCCCCACGGCGAGCGCCTTCTGTTCCGCCTGAAGCAGCAGCAGCAGAGCGGCCGTTTCTGCGACTGCACCGTCGCCGTCGGGGGGTCCCGCTTCCGCGCCCACCGCAACGTTTTGGCGGCGTTCAGCGAATACTTCAGCTCCCAGTATCAGAGCGCAGCTGGGTTAGGGGGAGGTGATCCCACCACGTCCCTGGATCCGGAATACGTGAGCGAGGAAGTGTTTCAGAAGCTGCTGGATTATGTTTACACGGGGGACCTAACCATCGACAGGTGCGCTAATTAACCCACCGCGTCTCATTTTATTTACATTACATCATTGTCATTTAGCAGACAGTTTCATCCAGAGCGACTCACATAGGTTACAATTTCATCCATTTATACAGCTGGATATTTACAGAGGCAGTTCTGGGTTAAGTAAAAAGGCCACGTTTTGATGCTGCTGTTTGATCGCGTTTTGTTTCTCGCTTTTGGCCTGCAGCGACAAGTTGGATGACA